TAAGAACCCTGTCTTCCTTTCCTCTAAAAAAAGTGTTGATGAAATTATACTTTTATGATTCTTCTCTCCAGGCTTCTTTCCAACATTTATAGTGGTGCCCTTTTCAGAACTTTCAATTGCTTCTTTCCTACCTCTAAGGCAAAGCAGACAGTCAACTATGGAACAGGATAACACAAAATTTTCCAAAATATATTTATTTAGGTATGGGAAAATTTGGATATAATAAAATTATTATTTTATAACATATGCTCTCAGTTTATGTGTGCATGTTTGCCACCAGGGAAGTTCTTAATTTGAGGTATTATACCATAAAAACATGAAGGCATTTCTTTTGGTGAGTAAACTTGCAAAGTGATCAGAATATATGGGAGGAAATATGAAAAGGAAAAATAAAATAATATGGTGTATTTTCTTAAAATATTTTAATTTCAGTTTAATTACATAATAGCTATCCATGGTCTTTTGAATTGTGACTAGACAGCTTCAAATCTTTTTTTTAAGAAAAAAATTATATTCAAAAAATTACAACACATTATTGTATACACTAGCATATTCAAAGTGCTATTAACAATTTAAAAGTTATTGCTGTTAATAATGAGACCATTGAATCTTTGACTATTGTGTTCTTGTGGGTTTTTCATATTACAACAAGCTAGAAAAAGCTATTAATAAAAAATTCATTTGTCCGTAATTTGCTGTATTCCCAAGGCAAAAAGAAGTAAAATAAGGGATAATTTTTAAGAATATATCTTTAATCAAATACTATGTTTAGTCATATTATGTATACACCAGGATATTTTTATATCCTAACTACATTGACTGGTATTTTATGGAAAAATTGTACCATTAATCTTGCTAGAAACTCATGTATACCTTATAAAGTGTTAAAATACTGTGGCACAGGTATACGAAAACTTTATCATAAATAACAAACCCCACCTTACACCAGTCAGATGACTTTCATTAAAAAGTCTGCAAGTAGCAAATGCTACAGGGGATGTGGAGGAAAAGGAACCTTCCACACTGTTGGTGGGATGGTAAGTTGGTGTAGCTGCTCTGGAAAACATTATGGAGCTTCCTAAAAAAAAATAGAATAAAATCACCAGTGATCCAACAAACCCACTCTTGGGCATATAATCAAACAAAACTGACTCAAAAAGACACATACATTCCTGTAGTCACAGAAGCACTATTTATAATAGCCAAGACATGAAAACAGCCAAAATGTCCATCGACAGATGAATGGATAAAGAAGATGTGTATGTATATATATATATTGGAATGGAATATTAATCAGCCATAAGAAATGAAATAATGCCATTTACAGCAAAGTGGATGGACCTAGAGATTATCATACTAAGTGAGGTATCAGAAAGAGAAAAATGCCACATAATGTCACTTCTATGTGGAATCTAAAATGCAATACAAATGAACATACCTATGAAACAGAAAAAGACTCACAGAAATAGAGAGACTTGCGGTTGTTAAGGAGGGGGAGGAATGGGAAGGGAAGGATTGGGAATTTGGGTTAGCAGACGTAAACTATTATATGTGTGTGTTAGTTCCTCAGTCATGTCTGACTCTTTGCAGCCCCATGGACTGGAGCCGGCAATGCACCTCTGTCCATGGGATTCTCCAGGCAAGAATTCTGGAGTGGGTTGCCATGACCTTCTCCAAAACTATTATACACAGAATGGATAAGCAGCAGGGTACTACTGTATAGTACAAAGAACTATATTAAATATCCTCTGATAAACCACAATGGAAAACTAATATGAAAAATATATAAATGTATAACTAAATCACTTTGCTATACAGCATAAATTAACACAACATTGCAAATCAACTATACTTAAATAAAATTGAACAAGTAAACCCCTGTCCCTGAAGCACACAGAATATGAATAATTTTTATTAACATAACTTTGTGCACATTCAGTTACACAATCCAATGTGCTCTCTCTCCTCGCAAGATGCTAAGGTTGACACTGTTTTTAAAATCATAATGATGTTGCATATGTGTGTATAAGTTGTAGGATCAGCAACCTAACTGTGATTCCACATACTGTCTCTTGTTTTCCTCTCCAAACTCTGTGGCCTAGGTAGAACCTGAATCACTACTCCTATGTAAAATAAGAGGTAGAACATAGTCTCAAAGGAAAAAAAAAAAGGTAAATATATGAGGTGATAGATATGTTAACTCAATGCTTTCACGATGTATACGCATACGTGTGTATGCATATCAAACCATCACATTGTACACTTTAGATGTCTTACAATTTTGTCAAGTATGCATCACAAAAGCCGAATGAAATAAAATAAGAGGGAATATGTCGAGAGAGTTTAAACGACTTGGCCAATGACAGAGACTCATCAGTGACTCGTGTTGGACAAAAAGTCTTCCTTCTCTCCTTGCATCATTCCTTTCCTCTCTTCTTCTCTCCTTGCATCATTCCTTTCCTCTCTTCTTCTCTCCCTCCCTTCCTTCTTCACTGAGGAATCATTCATGTCCTCGGCACCTGTATCAGGTGCTGTTAAATGCACAGATAAATGAGAACCTCCGGAAAATTATTTGATCTATTGCCAGCTCCTCTTTGGTAAGTGACATAAAGCACCTGAAATGCAGGACTGAAGGCCCTGGTTCGTCAACAGATGAACTGTGCAGACTCAAATAGAAGGGACATGCCTTTAACAAATATTAAGATTCAAACAGAGCTCAGAAGTCATGCTAGGCATGATGGCTGACAAAATGGTATGCATATTACAAACCTTACTATGTAAAGTCTGTATGAGTAGGAATTCATCTGCTAAATGTACAATGAGGCAGATATGTTTCACTGATAGGATAAAGATAAATTATTTATTTTATGGAAAGATTTCCATACAATTAGGACATGGGCCAGCATACACACACATACATACACACACACACACACACACACACACACGTGTTCACATCCTACCTAGCTTTCAAAAAAACAATTTTCTTTTCTAGCATGTTTCCTTTAATTTAGGATATGGCCTTTGTCAATAAAGAAAGGACTCACACACCTACCTTAAGAAATTTATTTAAAATGATATTATCTGCTATTTGTCTTATTTCATATTGCCAGTTTCCACTGAGTGCTAATAAGCTCTTGCCATTGGAAGGGTCTGCATTTAACATCTGTCACCGGCATCCAGCAACAGTACCTACAGAGAACTGTCAGGGAGATTGTTATTGCCCTTTGTAACACCCTGAATCTGTTTCACATCATTTACATACAGATAGTTACAGGCATTCATCATTTCATTATGCTGACAACTTCACTATTCTGATGCATAATGTCTCTTTAATGATCCTCAAAAACTACAATATTCCTTGATTTATGACTGCTTAACTGAAAAATTATACAAATTGGGAAAAAAAAATCCTCATAATGTGTTTTCATTTTTCCCCCACATTACACTTATATGCAACAGTGACTCATGAGTTAAGATCATGTATCTTTGACAAAAGAAATGAATAGAATTTGTCTTACTATGTTTTAGTACCACTGAGGTTTTTGTGCATATCTAAACTTCCTTGTAAAACTGCACTGACACAAAAAAGTAGCAAATTAAAATACACCCCTTTTTGCCCCAAGACTGGACAACAGCTTTTAATATTATCATAAGTGTGATAAAGTTGCTTAAATTATAATGAAGTTTATTACTCTAATATTCATTTTTCCCTTTTGTAAATAAATATGGAGAACCTTGATACCGAAAGGTTTTTTTTATCAGGAAACAAAGAAGGTAGTCAAGAAAGAAAAAAACCCAGAAATAAACTGAAATGGGAACAGAAGCTTAGAAGAGGGGGAAGGTGCTGATTCTTTCACTGTTTATTAACTTATAGGGTCCTCTTGGGATGGCAGTTCTAAGAAGGTGTCACTAGCCTTGTTTCCTGGTCTCTTAAAAGTTATGCCATTGAAGGTGATGAAAAGTGATCTATTTATTAATTAAAAATCATTTCCCCAAAGAAACTGGTTGTGCTCCAAACAGGCGAGTGCCAAAAAGTATAAATTATTCATATGCTGCCAGCTTCTGCAAAAATAGGAAACCTTTGAGTACAGAGTAAATTATATTAGACTGAACACTATATACCATTAAGAATAAAAACATATCTTTACTCTCATAAAAGCTTATAAATCAGCACGAGTAGGACATACAAAAATAGAACACAATTTTGGAACTGGCATCCTTAGATTTGACATTAGTGTCTCAAGTTTAGTTTCCATTCAGCACATCTGAGATTATTTGTAGCTTTCAATTTCTGAAAGAACAGAAAACCAGGATGAATTAACCCGAATCATCAGAAAAAGAGTGTTTCAAATTAAATGAAAGAAAGCACAGAACGGTTCTCATGTATAAGTGAGAGGATTACACATAGAAATCCTAATAAAAGATATATAGTATATACACACATGTACCATAAGAAAAAGTCCATTTATAATATATATATATGAAAATTAGTTCTATTACTTTAAATTTATTATTTTATTCTCTAGCTTGATTAGTCCCTTTCAAACTCATGATAAATTCCTTTTGGTTATATCTAAATATGTGACTCACCCACAGAGAAAATAACCAAAGTCGAAAGAAAAAATGCAACTCTTCAAGTGTTCTTAAATAGAAATAATTAAAAAAATATTTAAATCCATTTAGCATCATTCACAGAAAGGGTTTATAAATTCCTTAGTACTACACAGAAGGAGATAGTGATAGTTTTCCTACTCTTTGTATGCTAGAACTGTTTTAGACAGGTTTTTTATCATCACTTCAAGGATCATATCGGGCTTCCTTGGTGATTCGGACAGTAAAGAATCTGCCTGCAATGCAGGAGACCTGGGTTCGATCACTGGTTCAAGAAGGTCCCCTCGAGAAGGGAATGGCAACCCACTCCAGTATTGTTGCCTGGAGAATTCCAGGGACAGAGGAACCTGGTAGGCTACAGTCAATGGGGTCAAAAAGAGTTGGACACGCCTGGGCGACTAAACAACAGCAGTGAAAGGACCATATTAAACTGTCAATTCCTTTGGTAAAGAAAGAACGCTTGTTATATTTTATATTTCAGTACTAAAATATTGCCAGCTCGCCTACAAAAAAAGATATACCTCACTAAATATATATATATATGCATATATATATGGATTCCCAAACAAATGTTTAGAGTTTTAGGACACAAAAGGTTTTATTTCCAAACAACTTGGAATTGAGCAGATGTTTATAATTTTAGGACAAATGGAGTCCTGACTTTTAGTTTTCTTTAATTCTTTTTAAAAAGGGCTAAGTGCTTAAGTCAATTAAACAATATGGTATTATCTCCATGAGTCTCATATTTCAAATTTGCCTCAAGAAATATCAACCATTTCCTTTATTTCAGTCTCAGATGTTGTGCTCATCTACAGAGCCCTGCATTTCTGAGGCCAACAATAACAGCAAACTTGACCATGAGGTCTCCCTGTAAATCATTTTCTCATACATTATAACACCTAATCTTCACAATAACCCTCTTAGATCAATGTTATTTTTATCTACATGTTAATAAGGGGGAAACTGAAGCTATGAGAGATTAAAGCGCATCGCCAAAGAACTGTGGAGGAAGGGATCCAGGCCCTGATGCCAAGGCCTGCATCTCAACCTGAGAACATTGCGGGAACCCTGCTTTCAGTTGTATTCCCCCTTGCATGTATCTTCACCTCTCTCTCTCTCTCTTTCCTGTTTTTTTTCTAAGCTTCATCTCACTCTAATTCAAAAGAGAAATTAAAAAACATCCAACTACTAACCCAAGAGTCAAGAAGCAGTAAGGAAGCCTACCTTGATCCCGTGACCTCCTTCCCCACTGCGTCTCCATCACTGACTGTCCAGGACCTTCCGTCCTGATGTGGGCCTCACGCTCTACGCTGATCAGCACAAGCTGTGTCCTATTAAGCAGGGAGTCCTTCCCAGGGAGGTTCACCTCTGACCTGAATTGGTCTCTCTTTCACAGTGGGCTCATCTTCACTTCTGTCTCTTTAGAGCTGCCTTGACCGACTTTTCTTGCGCTGCCCCGACCTTCCTTTTGATGCCTTTGGGTTTCCTTTCCTCCACGGTCTCATTGGAGACCCATGCTCCCCAGACCCCACGTCTCTTCCAATGGTGATTTACGTACTTAACTGTCTGCAAAGTCCCTTCACCTGATAGTTCAATGGGTTCTCACATCCTCAAGATTCCCAAAGCAAAACTAACCTTTCTCAAAACCTCCCCTTATACCATTACAGTGTAAGGCATCATTTACAAATAAAAATGAAAACCCGCATGGGACATTTTCTTGTTTCCCCTCCCTGGAGCTCTAGTTCACTAACACCCGGTGTAAAACAACGTACTGAGATCGTCTCGTCTCACCTCCTCCAAGTGTTCATCTTTGGTCCCCAGCCAACCCTTGTCTGCATTTTCAGCCTCTCCTATTTTGCTCTCTGCTTGATTTATTCTCACTTGACCACTTTCCCACAGGAATCAAGTGCCTCTTTTCACTTCTCCCCTAACATTTTACACACATCTCAAGCCTTGGGATACTTTCAAGTAGAAGCGGAATGCAATGACTTAAGTACGTAGCCTCTGAACTCAGCTTCACCACTTACCAGCAGACAGGTTACTTAACCTCTCTTAACCTTACTTAATCATCGTTCTCACACCCGCAGACTGGAAGACGACCACAGGATACAAGTAAGTGAGCAGCGGGTAGGATAAAGCAGCGCATTTTGAGCAAGCTGGTGTAGACTAAGCATGCAGCAATGTTGTTACAATACTGTTTGTAGAAATAATGTTTTCTCTCTGGACTCCCCAGTGGAAAGGCACTCCTTGAGGAGGGAGATTTATCTTAGTATCACTAACATTTCACACCAAGCACAGTCAGAGCCTCTTTATGTTGAAATTCATTGGCTAAGGCTATCGAGACAGTATTCTAAATAAAAGACCAATTTTATTGGATCTGACTCCCTAATTTAAACTCTAGCTGAGTTCAGAGGCCATGCTTAAATAAACTTAGCAAGTAAGATGATAACCAGTGAGGGGTTTCACTTCAGACCCAAACTCTCTGCCTACTGTGTGCTTTTTCAGGCCTGACCACAGGCTTTGTCTGGCAGGCCTCAAAGGGGAAAGCCCCCTGACCACCCCTCACCAGGCACAGCCAGTGCACTGAGGTCTCTGGAAGGCATTTCAGGCCCCCTGGACAACCCTGTTCTTACACACATCACATTCCAAACCATAGTTTGGAGCCCTCCTTAGCTGGGATCTTTGGCAGAGACTGGGATTTCTCCAAATGAGTTTCTTGCTTATATATTTATAGCAAGTGATTAAAGGCTTGACTATTACTTTCACTCTGGCTTACTGTCTTCACTGACAGTTCAGACTCCTGGAAGCTCTGCTCTATCCAGCTCATCCCTTAAGCCAACTTAGAAAGAGCTGGATGATGCAGGGAGGTTGCAAAGGGAGAGTATTCAGGAGAACAAGATTTTGATATTTCCATTTTATAGGAGGATATAACCTTGTGGTGTCCATGGTTAATACCTAGGATACTCTCAGATTAGCAGACGCCTTAGAGATTTTATAATGCAGTTACAGCTTACTCTATAGTGGACCTGAAGTCTTTGAGGGCACAGTTAGGGACAAAGGTTGATTGGGAAATATACAAGTTCCAGAATATCCTGGTTTTTTGTTCCTTTTTTGGAGTTTGTGTCTGTGATGTCACTAAATCAAATGTGATGGAGACACCCCAAACACAAATTACTAGAGGCTAAAAAATAGGATAACCTGAGAGCAGATGTGTAAATACATGTGCTTTGCTCACATAAGCATAAAACATAAACTTCTTCAAGTTTCTAGAGGAACTTATTTCAGAGTGAAAGCTAAACACCTAAGAATGTATCATATCCTTCCATCACCATAGGCTTAAAACTGTCTAGATTTAGAGAATAAAAGAGTAGGTTAGCAGGATTTAGCATTTTGTTTTAAATCAGTTTTAACTGGACACTTCTAAGAACAAGGGTCTCACGAGTAGAGTTGAAAGGAGACCAACCATATGTGCACCAACTGCATGAATTTTTCGGTGAGAAGCAGTGACAGTGTGCACATTTCCAGAAGAATGGTCTCCAGCTTCAGAAGTACTGATAAGACAGGACTATGATTGTTCTCATTTTATAGTAAAGGGCACTCTATGAAGCTGAAAAGTGATGAAGGTCTTCAAAACCCTCCTACAGCACTTTCTACCAGAGTACATTTAGTGGTTACACTGTTAGCCTCATTTGAATCTAAAATAAAGTTACAGTAAAAGATAGGAAATCAAGGAATTCACCTTCGAAGAGAGGTCATCTCTGAGACTCATCTTTGCATTTTAGGTTTTTCCATTTTATGTTTCCAGTTCTACTGATGATGTTCCTCAGTTTTCTATAGCAATGTGTCAAATGTTAATACTTCAAATTTTCTTTAAGAAAGAAATGCAAATATCACTGGCACGAGGTTAAAACGTGTTCCTTAATAACTGAAAGACACTCTGTAGCTGTGCCAACTAAAGCTCCTTTCTATCTACAGAACTTCTATAATAAGAGCCAAAATCTAAAAAGAAAAAAAAATCATTGGAAACATCATTAAGTATGAATAAGACCATATCCTTTGGACCTTAAATAGTACAAAAGATGTCAGTAAGAACTAAAGAGTTAATTATAGTTTATCCTTCACTGTTTTGTTTATTTAAATGGAAGTCTTTCTTAAATCCATAAATAATGTAGTTTTTCTTAAAATATTATTATCATCATGTGTATGAAACAGTACAAATATCTTTTAACATTAGACTCAAGGACAAAAGAAACTGTTTCAAAACATATGGTTTATCACTTAGTAGACTACTCATTTCTTCAATGTTAAGTCTAGTCATTGAATCCTAAAGTAAAGATTTTCATTTTTAGAAAAAATACCTAAAGTATGGCACAAATTATCTGCCAAATAGAGCAAACAGGAATGTGGAAACAGCTGATGTCTAGGGTAAGTTAAATACATGTACTTAAGAAAGAAATAAACATCAAAAACCTGCTTTCACTAAGCAAATATCACAATGAAATATCTTATATATTAATACCACTAGAGGGCTTAACACATTTTGCTTAATCAAAAGAATTTCTTTTTCAAAGTTGTCTTCTTGGTATAAAGGAACTTCTATATATTATCTTTATAATCATGGTTATAAAAAATTGATACAAAATATATACAAACATGCAAAACAACGATGAAGTGATTAGATCAAATAAAATTTTATAGACTGAATATCGTTTTAGGCAATTTAAGTCTGTTAAATAAACTGTATGTCTTCAAATATCACTTATTCTTAAATGAAACATATTATTTCTGCAAATTTGTATTTAACAACATGGTTCTGATAAATGGCATGTGCTATTTTTAAGGAAGATTAATAGTTTTAAAGCAGCCTACAAATTTCTTTCAGTCACTAGTCACCAACAATATAAATTTACCTTCATTCAAGGTAGTCTCTATATTTCAAAAGAATATTTATGCTCATGAAAACTTGTCTATGATTCTAACTTAGACAAATTATATTATGGAAGACATTAAAAATGACTGTCTTTAAATTCCTTCTTTAGTTGAACAAGTCACACATTTAATAAATTTTATTTTTGTCTTGAGTGGTAATTTATCTTTAAGTCAATCCCATTATTCAGTTATACTGTGAATACAAACTTCTATGAGATGAGAGAATAAAAATTATGACTCAGTTAAATAAAGCAAGTCTTACACTGATTTTAAAACCTTTACTTACCCATTTAAAATATGAATTAGTCCTGCTGCCCCAATTCTTGGTGGTGGGTAAAATAATACTACAAATAAAAGGTTCACATTTTGAAGTGGAAAACCTAAGTCATCACCACATATATGAAATAATACCTCTGTAATTCTGAAAAAAGCTAATGAAATACAAGTTGTTTCATTCACAAGGAACTTCCCAAACTCTAGGCTCAGATTTGAGAAGGAAATATTAGATGTTACAGGATATTAAAAAAAAAAAGCTTCCATTATCTCAATACACTTTCTGATTAATAATACAATGCAAAACTTGTACCTTGTCACAGTCAAGACATGTATGCAGGCTAAGGCCCTTCAGTCCTGCCTGACTCTGGGCACCTCTATGGACTGCAGTCTGCCAGACTCCTCTGTACATGGGATTCTCCAGGCAAGAACACTGTACCTCTTATGACCTGAATGATTGGTGTCAAAATCCGTAGTTGTCTGTTTTGCATGGACCTGACTAGTCAGAAGCTCCTACTCATGAGCTCTGAGTACCATCTGAGATTGCTGCGTATAATTCCAAAAGCTAAAGAAACCCTAGCTGTCCGGGGGTTTTACTATTAAACGCAATCTCCCTGAATGTCCCCTGGAGGTTATGTTTTGCTGCGTAATTCACAGGGCCATCAAAGACATTGCCACCTAAGAGCAATAACCTGTCACCTCTATTCCACCAGCAAATGGCTATCATTTCCACCTCTTTACCAATCATAACAGCACTTACCTGTGAATTACAGCGGAGTGCTGTGAAATATTATGTGGAAAATGTATTTCTTCAGTTACATGATCAAATCAAGCCCTCAGGTCAGTTCACAAGGCTTGTACAAAGGTTTTTTTTGTTGTTGCTATTTGTTTTATTCCTTAGAAATACAATAGTTTTACATAATTAAATTGCACATGCTGTGAATAAAGAGGTTTTGATAACTTAATTAGCTACAGATCAAGCATTCTAATAACTGAACTTGGTGCATTTATTACTGATAGTTTGATAAATTTACAAATATCATCCAAAATTTCAGCAGCTTGCCTTATTAAAGTTTCTCATTCTGTATTTTTCTAACCTGTATCTAATAATGTATTGATTATTCATAGTAACATGATCATTCTTCTCGGTATATTTTTATGACTATCTTACTTTCTAGTCGGAAAATTTTTACATTACTAAATGTATTCTGGCAAAGATCACCATGACAAAGTAAAAAAATTATCATATTGTCCCTTACTTTACTTTCGTTTTCATCAACTATGCGCTCTGTAATTAAGTTCTTCTATATTCAGGATTATTTTTTTCTTTCCAAGTTACTATGCTCTCATCACTAGTGTTTCAGCAGGCTGCAGCACCCCCCCATTACTGCTCACACACTATATATGTTACTCTTAAATCTCTTAACATGCACCCTACTTGACATTATCAAGGCCAAAAATTAACATGCTACTTTCACTAGAAAATACTTACAGTCATACACTTCCCGTAACGATCTTAATGCTTCATCCAGAGTAAATCTCAAACAAGAGGAATATCCAGAGGTTATTTTTATCTCCTTTCTCTAATTTACATGATCGCTTCATTCAAGTCTGAAAAATAAAAAAAATTCAAACTGTCTTACTATTAAATACACTGACACAATTTCAGTGTAAAACAACAAGAAAATGGTAGAATATTTTCCTGAACATAATAAGTTTCTGAAGACTGAGCAAACATATCATTAAGAATTTTTAAAATGTAAGTTATATACGATACAAAAAATCTCAGGCCCACCAAACATATATTAAGATGTGCATTAATTCACGCCCAGTAGTAGAACTTTTAATTCCCCACTAAGAAATGAATCTCCACATACAGAGTGATCTTAATCACATATATTTCTATTAAAAAAATAAAGTGTGTTTAGGATACTAAGAAAGATGGAAATATATTCTTTTCGCTTGCTTGTTTCAACAGTTACATGACTATCATAAAATTGACCTAGAATACTCTGATAAATTAACAAACTAGCTTTTGGTATTGAAGCAGTCAAAGGGAAGTCAATTTTATCCTTCTACATATAGTTAAGGGATGCATAATCATATTATGTTTAACTAAAAGAATATGTATTTAAATATTGTGAGAGATCTGTTAAAGAATTTATACAAATAAAGTTTCACATTTCTACGGCAAGCTGACTCTAGAGGAAAAATATCTGGGCATATCCTCAGATTCAGTGCTCTCCAATCTTCAAAGGGAGAGAGGAAGAGACTTGTTCCTCTTGAACAAGGAACAATTTAAATCAAACTAAATGGAAAGGACTTCCAATGCAAAGGCTCTGTAAGGCTACTGATATGTTTTAAGCTGTCCTCATGGAAATAAACTTAATATCTAGTAATGAAAACTGCTAGGTTTCAAGATATTGCTGCATAATTAAACAAACAAACAAACATTTTAAGTACAAATGCATTAACACCCTTGCCTAAACCTCCCAAAATTAGAATTTCATGGATTTGTGTTTGTCACAGAGAGTAATAGCAGCAGAAGTCCCCTAATGTGACCCTTACAATCTCACTCACTGTGAGGGGAGGCAGCTTAAAGAACAAATAATTTGATAAAAGGCCCGTGTCTCCCCGCCTCCTCCACTAAAAATCTCTAGCACCAAATGCAATTACTGATGTCAGTCAACAGTAGGTTTAACTGTTGGTAAACTACTGCCTTTCTGATTGGTTAGTATATCCAGCCTGATTTTTAATACCTCCTTTTCCTCTGGTACATTATTTATTTTTTCCCTCCCTGGTTGTATAATTGTGAATCCCTGCTATTAAGGAATTTCAAAGGATAATTTTATATACTGGTAATAATTCTACATAAAATTTCAAGACAAAGAATTGATTGTAGATTCAAAAATTTTATTCAGAAGTATTTTCACTTATAACTGCAAGTTTCCTTCTTATCTGTTCACTTTTCTATCTATGAATCCTATAATGTATGCATTAGTTCTCTGTTACTTCCATTTAATCTCTCATATCCTTGCTAGTAACATCTATATTTATACTTATCCTATTTTATTTTTTGATAAATATTTCAAAAAGTATTTCATCATGTCCTGGCCAATTTTTGCAACTGAAAATTTTATTTATTTTGGTTTCATTTTAGAATTTTTTTTGTACATTTCTTTATGCTTTCAGTATTTTCCCCTGGAGTCTGACTGCTTGATCTTCATTTCCTTCTGTTGCATTATAATCTCTTTGTTACTTTGATTTCTTCATTTTGCTCTCACATTTTAGAGATAATATTTTGCTTTAACACTTATGGGACTCTGAATTGTCAGAACTTTTTCTTACATTGTCTTGCATCACTTAAGATAGATGTTTTTCACCTGTTCACTTAAGCAACTTAACTATTCTTGCTTACGTTGTGAGCATGAGGTTACTATATATAGATATGACGATCTTTTTTCAATTGCTGAAAAGGACCATTCAGTGACTGAAATAGTACATGTGTGTGTGTACAAATGTCTGTAATTGCCACCGAATGTCTATAATACGAACATTCTCGCAAAAATGTTATTATATTTGTGTTGTTGATTGAGCCCATCTTCTCATTTTGCTTATTCCTCTATACAATCAGTATAGTATATACTGCATCATGAAGTCAATCCTTTAAGTCATAAAGTCACTCAAGAAATATATGCTGAACCACTGACCAGATGAACATTTTCTGCATTCGATCTGACAGCGATGACCACTGGTCCCTCCCTTACAAGATTTGATGAACATTGTGTAATATATAATAGCTAACCAGGAAGTCTGGGTGGAAATCCTTCTTGACTAATGACTGAGAATGTATGTGCTAGCTTTCAGGCTATTATGATTCTGTTTCTGTTAAGTTTGATATACTGTGTTCATGCAAATGTAGAAATTTTAGGTGGGTGAATATTTAAGTTGAAGCTGCTCAAGGATTCATTGTCACGATTACTGGAAACCAACAACAGTGCTATGAGAAACATTAATGAGGGTTGTTAGAAAAAGGAAACCATTATTACCCAAACTGTGGCAAAATTACAGTCAATCTCTGACCAGTTTTGAAAAAGTTTTTATCCTGATATTTCAGTCCTACTTGGAAGTGATTTTTGATTGTTTTGTAAGCTTGGAGTAGGATACTGGTAGCAATATTTATTGCCATGACCCAATAGGGGAATTTCATATAAAATCACTGCACTAATTTTTTTTCAATATCAGCTATCACTTTTCTAGTTAAGACAATAACCTTGTGATGAGCTGGTGACCTGCTGGAGAATACAGAACTATAAGCTTGAAGCCAAACACTAAAAGAATGGGGAGAGGGAGATGGTGATCCTTCCATTCAACATCCCAGTCCCATCCATGCCTCTACTCACTCCCAGCCATGCTCTGGCTTGTGGACCTTGCTCACTGGCTTTCTTTCAGCTGGTGGCAAGCAATCAATGAAAGTCAGGTCTCTTTTGCTCTTAGCAAGGACTCTCATTCTCAGCCTTCTCTTCTGTTCTTGGTGGACATCTTTCTGCCCCACAGGAATGGTTGACAATTGAACTCAGTTGCCTCCTGAATGCCTATGCCACCCCGAACCAAAAGGGCTTTTAAAATTTCACGAGCTGAGATAGAATAGCATGCAAACTTCACACATATGCCATATTTAGAAGATCTGTTTTTATGACCAAAAAAACAAAACAAAATAAAGACAAAACATAGTAGGCTCTGAATGACATTATTTATAAACCAAACATCTGAGCTCAAAACTCATGTATCTTTCAATGCTTTCTGCGGATGTTACTCAACCAAGGTTTTTGCACAAATAATCATCAGGATGATTAATTGAAGAAATTAGCTATTGTTTGTCACCAGGCTGATATGCAAAGCCTTCCCCATTTGATTTATTCGAACAAATTACTTAAAAGGAACTTGACTAGATTGGCCAACATTTTATATTACTTGTTAGTTGTTTATTTCAATGTTTCTTTTCTTTACAGACCCATATAGATAAGTAGGTCTTAATGTGCCCCAGTGATATTTTTCTGTGTTAAATTTTCTAAAGTTAGTATTCAGACATTAACAAATCTGTAATTTGTGGAACAAAAGAGGTTTCTGGGTTTTCTGGTTTTTGTTTTTTTCTTGTTTGTTTGTTTTTTGGCCAGAGGATTTTAGAATTAGAAGGCTCTATATTATAGTACAGGAAATTCACATGTAAGAAAGAGGTCAGATTTCCAGGACATATTTGGGTAGAGTATATAATCTGCTGTAACAATATTCTCAATGATATTTAAATTCCCAGAATATTTAACTAAGGTATCTACATTTTGGCTTCATTATATTTTGGTAAACATGTCTGGGAACCAAGCCACCACTGAAAACACAAATAATGGTAAGAGATGAACAGTGCATTCTGACTTCCAATTTGGGATTCAATATGCAGAGGACAGTACTATCCATGTACGCCTAACACCCCACACTCACTGTTACACTGCAAAGTGTCTGCCTCACTCTCACACACTGAATCCACAGTTGGAGTCACTAGATACTTGGCTAAAAATGAACACACAAATGTGCATGACAATAATACAAAAGAATAGTAACTGACACTTACAATTATGTCAACACTATATATCAATTCTTCACTCATATTTGAGACAAGGAATATCACCATCATCTTCATATTACACATTAGGAAAACAAAGCTAAGAAATACTAAGTTATTTTCTTAAATCACTTATCTGCCGGTAAAAAGTCAAACCACTTTCATGATGTTAATCTTACATTCTTTCCATCAATTTATGCTATTTTGTGACTAAACTATTTATGACAGAAAATGATAAGTTGTTTTATTTATTTATTTTTTTGATAAGTTGTTTTAAACAACTGAGTAAGGACTATCATGATACAGAATACACTACAGGCAAGACTTCAATTTTATAGAGATTAAAAAAGTATAGATATATGATATAGTTTTAAACATTAAGAAAATATACTGAATAAGTTTGATAAGAATTGAATCCTCTGAAGTATCATATTCACATGAAATTAAGCAATAATGATATGAATATCAACATGCTAAAATATTAAATGCCTGAGTTAAATCATTATAGAATACACATGAGAAATAAAAAGGAAATATTTATTTGACTTTCAGAATGTGGTTCAAATATAGGCAGACTTTTGAAGTTTCCATATACATGAAGGAATATATACGCACACAAGCATATATATATGTATATATGAATATATACACACACAAGCATATATAAAATAAAGACCTCCTAGTTTTGTAAAAGTGGATGCTAAGGAACATTTAAAACAAAATTTACACATATTAAACTGGTTATACACTGAGCAGTCTAAGTCACTAGTTACATAAGATAATTCTATCTAATCCTATGTTGTCACGCAGTCGCTCAGTTATGTCTGACTCTTTGTGACCCCAGGACTGCAGCTTGCCAGTTTTCTCTGTCCTATACTCTCTCCTGGAGTTTGCTCAAATTCACATCCATTGAGTCGGTGATGCTCTCTAACCATCTCATCCTTCGCTGTCCCCTTCGCCTTTTGCTGCCAATCTTTCCCAGCAACAGGGTCTT